TGGGTAGGTTCCCACCGGATCCTGGGCCCTGTCCTGCTCGGTCTGTGCTGCGGCTCTGTGCCACAGGCTCTCTGGCTGCGTGGCCTGGCCTCTCTGTGCTTCAGTTTTGTCACCAGAGGAGCAGAAAGCTCACCTGGGGTGAAGGTTCCAGAGATCCCGTCTGACCCGTGCCGTGGCCCTGGCGTCTGCAGAGGCCTGGGTGCCGACGCCGCAGGGCAGCCGTGCGAATATTGATCATGCGGCAGTCCGGGATGCTGGCTGAGCCCAGGAGCCTCTCGTTGGCCCCGCCCTGAGCTCTGAGCGGCTTCTTTCTTCCCAATTCCTGGGCCACTGAGCTCAGGTAAGGGCTCGAAGCTGCTCATTAGTCCTCTCTGCTCCTGACTGTCCCCGCTGATGAGCCATTCTCAGGGAGCCTTTATCAACCCATCTGCCTGCATTGTTACAATCAAGAGAGATCAGTGTGATGGCCATATTCTATCGCAGACAAAGAATTATGACAAAGGCGGCTATCTTCTGGTGAGGTGCAGAGACACCACCAGGTGGAGAGGTGAGTAGCAGTGGTGGCTTCTACCCTCCACTTCGCGCCAGGCTTGGGGAGGCTCTTCACACACAGACCTTTCACAGGGTGCGTGCAGCAGCCGTGAGGTGGCGCCTCATCTACCAGACAGGAAACCACAGAGGCCAGCCCAGGGGTGGGCAAACTTTTTGACTCGAGGGCCACAATGGGTTCTTAAACTGGACCGGAGGGCCGGAACAAAAGCATGGATGGAGTGTTTGTGTGAACTCGCCAAGCCCTGTGGAGTGTCTGCGGCAGGGCCAGATTCAGACCCAGGCCGCGGGACCCCACTGGGGTTTAGACACAGAGGCCAGGCCCTCTCCAAGGCCCCCGGAGTGTCTGCGGCAGGGCCGGCCTCTCCCTCAGGGCCTGGGAAGGCTTCCAGCCCTGATTCCTGCCCCATTCGCTGGGGCGCGTGGAGCTGCAGGAGGCCACAGGAGGCCGGGCCAGTGGAGCCATCTCCGTGGGGAGGGCTGTCGGCTTTGGGGGTGAGGTCACCTGCTGGGGTCCAGCCTCATCAGGTCCAGGGGTCACAAAGGTGTGGACGGAGTCGGCGAAGAAGGAATGACATGGAGGAAGCGTTCAGTTGATCAGCAGCCTTGGCAGGGT